GGGGGGGGGGGGGGGGGGGTCGGGGTAGTTTGGCGGGTTTCGACTCTATTTTAGGGAAGTGTGAGAGTTACAGTGCGACTACTCGAACCGGTGCACTTGGCAGAAGATTATCCAATCACAACGTTTTTTTGAAAACAAAAGATTCTCAAATTTCTTGCAACGGACCAATGAAATTCAAGCATCACCTACGCAACCGTTGAAAACTTTAAAACCGTCTGAACCAACCCGACCACTAAGGAAACAGCCCTCAAATTCATGAATGTTATTGGTTCGTTTGCAAAAAACTTGAGAATCTTTTGTTTCAAAAAACGGTTGTGATTGGTCAATCTTCTTCCTAGTGTCCAGGTTTAAGAAGTCGCACTGTGAATGTTTTAAAATTTTTCAAGCTGGCCCTCATAGAGTTGTGTATTGGAAAGATGATCAGATAGAGTAGGCCTTTGTAATCCAATGGAAAGACTTTGTTTACTAAGCACTAGAGGAGATTGACAGTAATTCTCACCCTTTGGACACTTGAACCAGTGTCCTTGCGCTAAACCCATGGCCTTCACAATGATGTCCTTTTCTTCTCTAGTGACATTCTGGTAGAACACTTGAAGCCCAAACGAATCCCTGATCCGCTCAATGCGAGCCGTATAACGTTCTCGGGTATCTTGATCTAAAAGGATTTAAAAAGTTTTAATATCTATCGTTCACGATTCCTAAACGCGTGTGAGGGAAGACGCCAATTATTATCATAATTAGAAACTTGTTCGCTAAGTTATTCAGCTTAACGAGCGTGATGTGTGAAATTTTGAGTATAGGTATGACCTATGATCTTGAAATGTCCGTTATTATTTTCAAGTAATTGATGACCTTGTTAAAAGTATCGAAAGTTTTCTTGATAATGTCATGAACTTATTAAAGTTAGTGACGGTCTCTTTCTCTTCGGCTTACTCCCGATGCCCCTTCTACTCTTATGTCAGTTAACAAACCCCCGACAACACTCTTAAGATAACGTTTTTTAAACCCCGCAGCTTGTAAATAAGATTTCAGACTGCTCATCTGTACACCATCCCCGTGGTCTATCTCCAACTACTAAGGCATTGGTGGACTTTGCTAGCTGTTTCGCATAAACAATTTTTTTTAAAATACGATTTTGCGTTGCTTTTGTACTATAACATTATTGTTCTCTACCTTCTTGCCCTTCTTTATCTATGCCCTTACCAATCACTTTCTCATAATCCAAGGCTCTCTGTACTTGGCCAATTTGTACGGAATCAATGACATTCAACTTCTTTCGACGGATGTCAAGCTGCATGTGTAGAATCTTTAAGTCAACAGCCAGCTGTGTTCTGTACATCTC